ATATATTTTATATTCAAGTAGACACTCTTAAAATATTCTCGTTAAAATTGAAACCAAACGTGTACTTACTCGATTCTCATTTAAAAATATCTCTCTTGCTCTCTCCGATCAGGTTTATAATTAAAGATTAAATAGATTTATTTTTAATTGATAACAAACGAATTCTTGATGATGGTAGGAATGTTCTTTCTTTCCTTCTTATTTGTTTTTGTTCCTCTTCCTCTTCTTTTCTTTTCTTTCGTCGAAAGAAATAACTTAGAGTATTTCTTTGAGTGGTACACCTCTTTTATGAAGTAAGAACCGGCGTTAAATTCATTTACTTAACGATGCAAATGTACTACGAGTCAGAGTAATACTGAAGGTATCGAAGGATAAGTGGAAGAGAAGAAAGACGAACGAGTTCGAAACGTTTAAATTCTTAAATATCTATCGTTGCTAACAGCAACGCGTTTGGTCGATCGGTCAAATGAATTCATTGTCCTTTCTAGTTTCTGCATAGCAATTAAGAAGCTTTTAAATCCTAATGCGGTATCTGTAAAACGATACTAAAAGAAATTTCATTTCTTGAAATATGAAATACACGCCATATTTAAAATTATACATGAAAACAATTATGCATAAATGTAAAATGAACAAACAAGAAAAAATATATTAAATGTTTCTATCAATTATTATACCATAAAGGTATTTTACGAACTTGTAAAAAATCAAAAATATACATGTTATTTATTTAAAAAAAAGATCTGACATCGTGGTAGAATTAATTCGAAATGCTACCGAGAAAGCGACGATTTAATTTACGTATTTTCTTCCCGATTGAAAGTATCGATTAGCGAAGAAACAACCGCACACTTTTCCTAATAGAAGTTAAATCATCGTTGTTTGCGTAAAAGTGCTTTACTCTTATCTCCGATAATTTATCGAAGTAATTTAATTTCTTAGTATATACAAAATTGAGTTGAAGAGTTTCGAGCCTATTGTTTTTTACAAATTTAGAGACTACGTCAAAAAATAAATGTAAATTTGATCGAAAAAAAAAATTATTTCTGTATTAGACTTAAAAGTTTTCAACACAATCACATATAATTGGACTGAATTATAGAAAAATTGAACAATCCTAAATATGTGGCCAAAAAATTTAGTAAAAAACAATCACGGATTCCATCATTTTTTTGATTAAAAAAAATCCTCGACTCTTACGTTATATAAATAATTGGAACAAAACTGCAATTTTGTACGAGATATAAAAGAGAGATCTTCAAATTTATTTAAATAATATTATAACAAAACTATCAAGCAAATCTTGACTATTATTTGCAACGAGTTAAAACTCGTATCCTTCGAGATCTATCCCTTTGGTAAATGGCACGTAATCCTTTCTATCCTGTATCACGTAAAATCGAGAGGATTCTCTAAATCTTCTATCGAAGTAGCTCAATCGTCTGAATTAAAGGATAATAAAGATAAAAAAAATTTCAAACGAAACCAGCGTGTGGGAGAATCGAAACATGGAATTTTAAGATAATAATAAATTACTTGAAATAATTTTTCGCTGTCAAATGTTTCAATAATATTTGATGTAACAAAGCTTTCGAATAGACTTTGGTTAAATCATTAATACGATAATGAATTTCTACTTCTTCTTCAGTTAAGAGAATGCAATTCCATGGTGACCATTCAACGTGATTATTATATCTGACCAATCTTAACAGGTGAATATCTAACTGTTTACTTATGATTGAATGACCATGCCAAATATTATTAACTAAATGATAAATGTCTCTTGGTTGCATCATAAATGCCAATGCCGAAAAACATCTCCTTCGTTTTTCTTCAGCTCTTAGGTGATTTAAAATAAAAATATATGGGTCGTAATTCACTTGACAGTAGCTTCGTTCCCTCAAAGTCGTGCAACCTTTAAAAAAACGATATTTAATTTGTTTTTAAATATCTTGAACCCTTTGCACTCTACCAAACACACACACATTACTCGTTTTCAATTATTGTAATAAAAATAAATATATATTAAAATAATACTCCTAATTTAATGAATAAATAATTTTTCTTTATCGAGTCGAACTAATTGGCACGCAATTAAAAATATGCATAGAGCAAAAAGTTAATATACCTACTATGTGTTAAATAATGGTGTGTGTGTGTGTGTGTGTGTATGTATTTAAGATTAAAAAATTAAAACTTCATTTACTAGCGCAAGTAGTTAATTTTTTCAATCCACTGTGAGGTGAAAATCTGTGATAAGGAAGTATCCTTCTACAGCTTCCACAAAATATCATTTTAATCTCCAAAGGTTCACGAAATTCTTCGCACTGAGGATCTTTTTTAAAACCCCTGTTGATATTTGTACAAGAACAAGTAGCAGAAACAGCTACGAATTTCAAATAATCACCTATATTAATTAAAATAATCATGATTAAAATATCATTAATTTTAGAATTATTTTATATCGGATTCTTACAAAGTATTCGTTTCCTTAAATATTCAAGAGATAAATTTTGAATGCCTCTTGACAATAACATAATCTCTTGGTCCAACAAATAAATCAAATCAAAAGCAGAAATACAAATATGAAATTGCAGTGATTTCTTTAACATTTTTAACAATTCTAATCGGTCATCCACAGTCATATTATTTTGATTTAACGAATCGTAAATACTCAAATATTGCCGTGCTTTTTGATTTTTCAACGTAATCATTTCTATGAGTTTAGATTTGTATCCGTGCCATTGTATAGATTTAGAATTGATCCTTAAAAATTTAACACGTTTCCTCGTTTTATATTCCTCCCTTATACTTTGTTTGAATTTATCTAAAACGTTGAACATTTTCACAGTTTTTTCGAGAACAAAACAATTTTCAGCACGTTGTGTTGCTTTAAAATAACGTGCATTTATCTCTTTGGTACGATCACGTCTCCAACGTTCAATTAATTCATACAACATATCAAAATCTGTTCTGCTTCGTGGATTAATCTTTCGTAAAAGTTCTTGCTCGTATCTTTTTCTGCGAACACATTTTTGAATATATTTTGCTGTATTTGTTGTTAAAGAATATACTATGGTGTCTTAATATTTCTTTTTTAAATACAAGTAAGAAAGTTCAACTAATAAATAGTGTCTTTCCTTTATAATCAATTTTAATGAATTATTTTATTTCTTTCTTATCTAAATTATTTTCATATACCTGTACATAATGATTCTCTCTTCTTGATACCGTTTACATTCATTCATTATTTCCCTATATTTTCTAGCACATTTCTTTAAATATTTCAAAAGTCTATAAACTCGATAATTTTTTTGAATTATCCTCGCATTTCCATCGAGATCAAGACGCCATTTTATTTCATCGTATGTTACATAACACTTAGCAGTCATGTATTTATCCTTTGCATTTGATACATTACAATTTGTTCTACGCTAACACAATATTAGTCGCAATTAAAGGAAAAAAAGAAAACCAAATAAATACATAGATTACAAAGTTAACGTTAGGTATTTTAATTTACGTATGTCATCTAACCGCCACATCTGAGTAATTTTATTACGTGAAGATTGGGTTGTCCCATCTTTAGTTTCCACAGTTTGCACGCCGATACTACAGCAATCGTGCCAGGAAATATTTTTAGGTGGTGGTCCCGTTTGAGATGCTGCATTTAAATACTTGTCACCGGTGATTTTATTTCGCCATCCACCTAAATACGGTTTCACTATTTTCCGATCTTCAATTTCCGTTATTAAAACCATCCTCTCGTTATTTTATAGCACGATTATTATACGACCAAACTTTTCAATACCAATTGCACGTCCGTTTTTGTTACAACAGCAGCAGTGTTTTTTAAACATACGACGATAAGCTCATTAAAAAAGAAGATAAGCAAGATTGTCCATCCATTACAACGCTCATTCTTGGTATTTTACGGCTTATTAAAAAACAAAACGATTAATATAATATAATACAGATACCTTCAAATATATATATGAGAAAATAAAGCGCGCGTTTAAATATTTAAGCAAATTTTTTTATATGTATATGTTATAAATAAAGGTGACTTAAAAAATATTTTGCATTCTTCGAGCAGATCTTGTGTTATAACAAATAACGAGAAAATGTATATTATATATATATACATTTAAATTATTGATATTATATATAATATTTTAATTTACAGTTAATTTAAGATACAAAGTGTCCTGTAACTAGTAGTACAAGCAAGCAGGGAATTGTTTGAATTAATTGCTACATGAAAAACTAAGTCATATTGTAAAATAAAATGTCATATAAAACCTTGTTTTCGACAAAAATTTGTCAATTATGCGTGAACTTGATTCAATTTCAAATCATTGTCAGATTCTTATGCTTATTGAACGAGATTATTAATTTCTAAAGTTGCAAGCTCAGTCAAATGCACACGTAATCGATAAATTTTTAAACTTATTTTTCTCAAAAAGAAAGATTCAAGAATTACTTCCTGCCTGCTTATAATACCAGTAACAGGATACTTTGTAAATACGCAAAAAAGATTGATTCTGATGTTTACAGCGAAATACTTTTTTCTGTCCTTTTTAGCTACCTTTATTTTTTTAAATGAAATCTTTTTTTTCAGGACTTTTTCTCATCTATTTCCGCTATAAGCCATAATTAGATGTATCCTATTATTTAGTATGTATAATTAACATTATCGCACTATCTACATTATTACTATTGATTCTACATGATAATATTTACACTTCACATTGGCTTTTAACTTTTATAAACATTATTTAATATATTTGTATGTGTATATATAAATATACATATTTATATATACATACATACTTGCGTAAATGTATGCATACATATACATACATTCGTTCGCACGCGACGTACATTGATTTTCTTCTTTTAACACATACTAAACATTTTTTCTATAACTTATGTACAAATATCGTTTTCTTATTAGCAATAAAATTTATTTTAAAAAAATGTTTATATGAGAAAATTTATATGATTGTATATTACGAAACTGTAGGATTACATAATTAAAAATAGAATAGACATTCGTTTTTTGTTTTAAAATAGAAATTTTGCTATTATTTTTTTTTTTGTCGAAATGTGTCGAATAAAATTTTGAGATATTTTTTCAAAGTATAGTGAATTAAAAAAGCTTTCGAAAAATTTAATGTGACCTAAAATAAATACATGTTTTTACTGTTATAAAATAAAAACATGTCTATTAAGGATATACAAATTTAAGTAAGCTTAATCAAAGGAAAATGTTGATGACATGAAAAATCAAATACTGGTGGCTCTTTCGAATCCTTTTTATGTCCGTCTGCCAATAATTTAAGAACCACAAAATTAGTCTTTGCCACTTTTAATAGATCATTGATCTGTAAAATAAAAACCAATTTAACAAAAATATAATATACTTTATAATACTTTGATAGACCTTAATTTAAGAAAAGGGAAAAACTTACTTCAGCCAAGGTATTAACAGTTGTCGGACAAGGTAACAATATTGCACGTTCTAACATATTTCTAGCTCTATGAAAGTGCCAGCAACCTGCTAAATATTGTGTCGAGCTCGAGACTTTATCCTAAACAATTAATCAATCAATAACAATCAGATTAATATTTACAAAATTTCTTAATTAATAATAATATCAATATATTTACTAACATTTTTCTTGTACAACTGAGCGTTAGTCATTTCTGAGAATTCTTGATAATGAACCGGTGGAGGAGTACGAAGAGAAGAGAATGGCAACAATCTATGTTCATATCTTACTCTTTCCGAATCAAATTGAGTTTCTGGAAGAGGAATCTTTCCATCTATACGAAATCCGACCAAAGCCTATAAATATTATTTTTTAATTTAAATTACACACAAAATAAATATATGTATAACTCATTATGTAATTGTGAAAACATACTTTGTAGTAACCGCCACAAATATTTTGCATCGCTTGGTATATTAAACTTTCAAGATGATGTGGTCTTGGTGTGGATTTCTTTTTTTTATTTTTGGCACTTTTTTTACCTCCCCTTCCTTTATGTGTATCATTGTGTGCTTCTTGTTCATTTAAAAATGTATCCGCTCTTGTAATTGCAGATACTAACCATGCGTATAAAAATTCATGCAGATACCAAAAAATATAATGATATTCGTGTACAGAATACAATTCCAGTTCGAAACCACTTAAGAGATACATAATCATTACACGTAACATATGATATAAAATCCATGTGCCAAAGCAAGCCCAATGCGATCTTGAAATGTCACTTTTTAATGAGCGTAAGTACCCATCTACTCGTTCAGCCTAAAAATATACACGACGCATCTTTATATAGAATAAATGTGCCTATCATTTAAATAAGATTAATAGATAATATAATAATCAAATAAGAATTAACGCGCATTACTACCTTATCTTGTAAGGTTGCAAAATCTTCTAATAAATGTGCTAACTTATCCCTTTGTCTAGCCCTATTATGTCCAGTCAATTGCAACAAACTTCCAAACAAGGTAACACAACGTGAAAAAAAACCATCAACATATTCCTTGACCTGATGATTTTGAAGCAACGTATTTTTAGACATTAATACCGGTGGTGCAATAAAATTTCTTGCCGCATCTTTCAAAACATCAGCAAAGTTGTGAACGCCAAATACACGATTTGTTGTTGGGAGATAAACTATTTGTAACATTGATCGAGATAATATGCATGGGCTTCTCCGAGAAAATTCTAAAAAAAAGTCCTAAAAAGAAATTCGTTCACTTGACATTTAAGTTATTAATTGTCGTCATTTATTACAACATTTACTTACCAGTGCTGCATGAAATCCAGTTTGATAAGTGATTTTTGTAACAGTTTTAAATCTATTTAACAATTCATCTAGATATTCTAGAGCCTCAACTCGAGGCTTTATTTTAGTATATCGTGGAAAGGTGGGAGGTAATAATCTCTGATTGACCATAGCATCAAAACCCATTATATTTGGATGATCAGCTATTAAAAATAAATAATTCATAAGAAAGAATATTTAATTGAGCAAATAAATAATGAGCATATATAAACTTACATATTTCATCTGCCTTTTCTCCACGATTAACAGTCTTGATCATAACTTGAATCATATCAGAACAGTTTGATAATAATCTTTGACAATCAACAAAATTTTGTTGCAACTGTTCTTTGCGTCCCATCAGTGATAAAGTTTGGTAGAACATCTTGGTAAATCTAATTCTCACATAAAGTGCTAAGCCATCATTGTACTGTACAGTGAAATACAACACTAGTTAATTTGGAAAATATGAAATACTTCAATGAACATAAATTAAATACTTTTACATATAAAAAAGAATAAAATCTAACCTCTTTTTCTGACTCGATGTCAATTGGTCTTATTCTACTTTTTCTATGAAGTTCTTCTTCCACTTCTCTCAACATAGATATTGTTTTTTGTTCAGTAATATCTTGTTGTAATCTGTATCCATAGTTAAGACTTTGAAAATCTTCTTCCTCAAAAACTAAGGCTTTGTTAATGCAGTCCTTGATCACTTCGATAATTTTATATACGGCGTAACAAAACGTTTTCAAAGGTTTGTCTATTATCATTGAAGGCTGATGTAAATATAAATTAGTAAAAACTGTCTGTACTAAGCTATGTCCTTCCAACCAACACACTATGCAAGAATATGTAGAATCTATTATTCCGATAACTTCGGAGGGTGTTAAATTATCTAATTTAATAGCACCCGTTTCTACAGCTTGTACAAAAGTACAAGGCTTGCTATTCCCACGATTGCACAGCATTCCTGCATCCATTTTAGGATCCATCATCTCAATGGCTGACATTGCTTCAAAAAGACCAAAGAACTCATTGTGTAAGAGTTCTCCCAGTTCCAACTCTAAACAAAAGCACGATACTGTATAAGCCAAGATTATCTTTTTATAAAATTTTAGATTTTATTATAAAATGCATATATATAGATTATCATTTATTCCACTTCACTGTTATTTTTAAACTTAATTTTAATATCGTACTTTTTACTTAATTAATTAAAAAACCTAACGTAACCTCGTGTTTAGCATACAACAAGTAATATAAAAATATATACTTTTATAAAAAGAATTCCTTATAAAATTTAAAACAATGAAATAATAAAATGAAAAATAATCGGGAAAAAAAAGAAAGAAAAGAAATAGCCCTAATTAATACACATAATTTATGTATGCACATATATATCACATATATTGCATCTTATTTTGATTACCTGTAATAGCATCGAAGAACTCTTGGGTAATATCTACCCAGTTATAGGAAACTTGATTAAATCTGCAATGTAAATATTTATAAAAATTAGAAAAAAAGTGTAACTCGTATCCCTTTGGAAAATATGTTGTGTGTGTGTGTATTAGGTTATTTCTTGTAAACGTTATACTCGATTTAAATTCAATCAAGGATTTCTTCTAAATATAATTTACAATGAAAATATGAAAAAATTGTAATAATTATTATTCATTTTTCATAACTTACGGCAGTTTTTTATCTTCATTCATATCAACCGAATTTTCATCCTCCACCATGGTCGCCATTGTTGTCCTAACAGCATCACCAATTGTTAAATTGAAAAAAAGAATTTTTCGACTAAAAACCACGGGCCACGAAGAACCTTATTTCATGGTTGGTATAAAGAAGAACTAGAACGCACTCTACCATCATCCCAGGAAACATCTTATGACAATATATTTACCATACTTTTTTCATTTGATTAAACCCCTTAAATTAAATTTTCGATATTTATCAAAAAGTAGAAACAAAAATTGAATTTTATGCTTAACATTTAAATAAAAATTATTTTAATACAAAATAAATATTAAAATGAATTTTTGTTTATTTTCTGATTCATTGTCAGTTAAATGTAATAATTACTTGCACATTTATTTATTTAAATTTCGTGCCCTATATGTACTAAGATTTGTGCGCAGTCTCAAATCTAAAATGAAATTGACACACAATCTTTAATTTGAAGAAGGGGAAGCAACACTTGAAAAAAATATTCTCTTCTTTAAGATTCTTTCCTATTGAGTAACGTTATATACATATATAATATATTTCTTAATTATACTTTTATAGTGTGAAATAAATATAAAAATAAAATATACATGTTTGACAATTTATATTGATAGAATTATACAGTGTAAATTAATAGAAAAAAAAATCTTTATTGAAAATATTTTATCAATATCAATAATGTTGGTATTAATGTCTGTGAGATTGACAGATCGTGTTGACTAAATCCATTCGTAATACGCGAGTTGTGTGTTTATTAAAATTGTAACGAAATATTATTTATATTATTATTTGTGAGGTTAACTAGAAAAAAGTATCATGGATGAAGCCAAATTTTTGAAAAGGTATGATTGTATATATAAATTTTGTATATTTTATATCGATTATACAAGAATACATTTGTTTACATAGTTGTCAGTTTATGTATCAAATAATTTAGATCTGATTAATATTTACATTATAATTTATAGAAAAGTTAGATCTGGAACATTGGATGTACATCCAACAGAAAAAGCATTAGTAATTAATTACGACGTAGAAGCTCTCATTTTAGGAGAACTTGGTGATCCTATGCTTGGAGATCGCAAGGTAAGGTCTTGCATATAATTGAAATTAATTTATCTCCTAAAAATAATTAATTGTTTAATTACTTATGTTCCATATTATAGGAATGTCAAAAAATAATTAGATTGAAAAGTTTAAATGCTGATACTAATGTATCATTATTAGCAAAGGAAGTTATGGATAAATGCTCTCTGATACACGAGTCCAAATTGCACGAAGTTGAACAGCTTATTTATTACCTTCAAACACGTAGAACCAATGAAAGCGGTAAGGTTTTTTTGATTGTAATTTATTTATTTCTTTAATTAATTGTATATATGTTTTTTTTTTACATAGGTAATGACAGTACTACTCAGCTTCAAAGACCAACGTCATCTAATTCAATGAATATAGAAAGCAGTGATTCAGAACGGGCTATCATCAGTAACATTAATAGTTACATCGAGTTATTGTATGAAGAGATGTCAGATAAAATAAAAGGATCATCTTTGATTTTACAATTAGCTCGTATACCTGACAATCTTTTGGAATTAACTAAAAATGGTAATTCTTATTAATATTATATGAACGTATAAAATTATTCTTATTACTATCGATGTCTTTTTTCTAGAATCATTATTGAGTGCTTTGGCTAGAGTTCTTCGAGAAGATTGGCGACGCAGTATAGAACTTTCAACTAATATTATATACATCTTTTTTTGTTTCTCAATGTATAGTCAATTTCATAATATTGTTCTTGAATACAGAGTAAGCATACAATATTAAATAAGAAGCATAGTCATCTTGACAACATTTTTATAACATTTATTATAATGTATTATTTTTGGATAGATCGGTTCTCTTTGTATGGATATTATAATTTTTGAGTTAAACCGTTATGATCAATGGAAGGAGGACATGGAAAAGTGTAGACGTCATTTTGAAAATACTACCGGATTGGTTCTTTTTCCTGCTACGAATGATACATGCGATAGAAGAATTAAAATTATTGATGATATTTGGAATACGGATGGTCCTTTGGATTATGAAGTCAAAAGAAGATCTGTTGAAGTTAATTCTAGTGTCAGTGAAAGTGATTTAAAGAAGATGAAGGATGAACTTGAAAAAAGTCGTAGAAAGTTTAAAAGTTTAACCAAAAAACAGGAACAATTATTAAGAGGTAATATATATTAATAAAGTCCTATATATAATATAATTAGTAAACAATTTAATTACAGTTGCTTTCTACTTGCTATTGAATATTGCCGAAAACATGGATGTTGAAAGAAAAATGCGTAAAAAAAATATCATTGGTATGTTGATCAAAACATTGGACAGAACTAACATTGATTTATTAATTCTGGTTGTTACGTTTTTAAAAAAATTATCTATTTTTCGCGAAAACAAGGATCTAATGGTAAAATTACTGTCTGGGATATTATTAGATTTTTTCGTCTTCCTTTTTTATTTTCTAAACAAAATAACCTATATATGTTTTAAATAATTATAGGCGGAAAATAACGTGGTTGAGAAACTACCTCGACTTCTACAAAACAACAATATGGATCTTATATTAAGTACATTAAAATTACTATTTAATTTATCATTCGATGCTAAGTTAAGAGCAAGAATGATACGAGTTGGTATGTTACCCAAATTGATTAAATTACTCAGTCATGGTAAGTATACTATTTTTTATAAATTATTTTACAAAAATGTTGGATATTACTTCTTTTAGTTATCATATAAATTATTTTAGGTGATATCAAAAGTAAAGCAACTATCTTAGGATTATTGTATCACGCAAGTATGGACGATAAAGTCAAGTCTATGTTTACAAATACCGATTGTATTCCGATGGTAAGTATTTGTTACGAAAACAAATTTTATTTATATTTAAAAGGAAAAAAATATGTAATTATATTGTAGGTGATGGATATGATTTTAAATCCCGAAGACGAGCACTTGAAACAAGAATTAATAGCACTTGGAGTAAACTTAGCGACCAATTCTAAAAATGCACAACTTATGATAAAAAACAATCATTTACAAAATCTCATACAAAAAGCATTTAGAAATCAAGACGCATTGATCATGAAAATGATTAGGAATATTTCTCAACATGATTCAGTGAAAGAGAATTTTGTTGTAAGTTAATTAATACAAATATTTTGTATTACTACTTATAAATATTTACAAAGATACTTAAAAATTAATGTACAAATAAATGTATTATTAGGAATTCGTAGGTGACTTTGCTATGGCTGTAAATCAATCAGATTCCGAAGATTTTGTAATAGAAGTTGTCGGTATTTTAGGAAATTTAGAATTATCCGATTTAGATTATTCTCAAATTCTTCAACGATGTAATTTAATACCTTGGATACGCAACAATTTAGTTCCAGGTACAAATCGTAAATCAAATTTAAATTTAAATATAAAAAAATATTTTATTTTTGAAAATCATACATATCTTACAGGAAAAGCACAAGATGATTTGGTACTTGAGGTTGTAATATTCTTAGGTACCGCAGCTAATGATGAAGATTGTGCTCGTTTGTTGTGTAAAGCAGATATACTTTTGTCTCTTATCGAATTGCTTAAAGGTTTGTATTGAGTTTTATTGTATTCTATAATATTTTATTAAAATGATAAACGATAATCATTTAAATTAAATATGTTACAGCAAAGCAAGAGGATGATGAAATAGTTTTACAAATAATTTATGTATTCTATCAAATATCTAAACATGATTCAACAAGAGATTATTTAATCCGCGAGACTGGTAATGGTAATAAGCAATCTACTTTGCTTTACTCGTTATAAGTTAAAAAACAAAATTTTTTTAAATCATAGAATATATAAAAATAAATTTTCAAAACGTCCTATAATTAAAAAATTTCAATCAATTTACAGAAGCACCTGGATATTTAATAGATTTGATGCACGATAAAAATCCAGCAATCAGAAAAGTTTGCGATGCTTGTTTGGACGTTATTGCTGTTAGTAGTTTCTAATCTGAAAAAATTTACAAAAGAATTATCAATTATTATTAAATTATACAAATATTTTAGATGTGCGACAAAAATTGGGCAGCGCGTATTAAAGTAGAAAAATTCCGATCGCATAATCAACAATGGTTGGAAATGGTTGAATCTATAGGTGCAGATGCAGCTACACAATTACTACCAGATGAGGATGATAGTCTCTCTCCGTTTCTAAGTGGAGAACTTTTAAAGCACACTATGCTGTTCCCATCTGGTAATTAATTTTATCATCAAATATATTATATTATTTATAATAATATTACATAATTTATATTTTTTCTACAGGTAATTCGGCATTATACAATACAGACGATGGATTTTCATTGATGAAAAATTCGTCTGGATCTTCTGAAAATCTCAGTCGACCAGTTAGCAGGTGACCTTTCTTTATATTTTATTAAATAAAATATCTGTCAAACTCTTTTATAAATAATTTAAAAAAAAAATTTCTTAGGTATAGAGATCTCGATGAAATAGGTGAACTTATGGCACGTTCGAAATCACGAATATCAATTGATACAGGTTTGGAAGAGTCATATTACAATAACAGAGATAAATTTACTGATTTAGATAATTCACATGTATTAATATGAGGGCACAGTAATATTACATATTACTAACGTGTATTTTCTCATGATTCCTACATGTATCAAAGCTTATATTCTTTCTTATATGCAAAATATTAGAATAAGTATTCTACAAAGATGTGTCATTATATTGAAAAAACTATATTGTGAAGTTATATGAAAAGTTTATTTGATTGATCTCGTAGTTATACACATATATATATATATATATCTAGTGCCTTTATTCTTTGTTAATTTATTAGACGTATTTCTCATTGCTCTTCAATTACTCTAGTCATTTATTTTACTTATTATTATTTTTATTGTTTTGCAATTATTCAACAAAATAGTTACTACGTTATGAAGTAAATGTAAAACTTCAAAAAGATGTATAATTTTAACTTCTTTTATATATAGGGTGTCCTGTATTACTAATTGTAGAACACCCTATATATATCTTTTTAAAGTATTTAATGTAAAAACAAAAAATATACGTAAATGTTAGGAAGCTAATACCAAAGAGTTTTATATGTGAGATTAAATTGATAATTTTATCAGAAATATGTAAGAATATTGAAAATAATGATAATATGTCAACGATATCGAATATTTTTTATATGCTTACAAATTATAATTTAACTATTATTTTTTTTAGATATAATAGATAAATTTAATATGGCCTCAAATATGTTCTGTCATTTTATTTTTCATTTTTTGATTGAATTTATTTTGCTTAATATATATATGTATCTATATAAAAGACTGGTAGAGGAATATTAACACAATGAAAATTTATCAAGCGATTCTTAATTTATTGTTAGAACTTAAACTTTTTCTTATAATACATTCGGCGTTGGGATTAAATAAAATGGTATAACTATTATCACCATCTGTAAAAAATGTATGTTCTTTCAAATCCCAACTAACAGGACTATCAGAAAATCCTTGCACGTGTAAACTGCACCATGGTAAATTTTTTTGTGATAATACATATTCCCTTACGGTATTATAAATTTTTATCGCTCTTTGTCTAGAAAAAAATCCTGTATATTGTAGATATTTTACTTGATCTACAAGTATATTTGGTTTCGGGCATTCATACGTATTTACATATTCGGATGTTTCTTCATTTTTTCTAATAAAAACGATTCACAAAACAATATAAGAAAATAAATAATTTACGTTGTTACGTTGATATTGTAATATATAAACATTATTTTAAAAACTATACGTACATATCTCCGAAAATACTAAACACACCAAGCCATTCGAAAAAGTCGTCATTCAAATTAAAACTATCTGTAACAATAGGTATATTAACACGATTTTCACTTCTGTATGAAAGTTTTTGACGACAAAGTGAAACACTATATCCACGTTGGTGAAACCATGCAGCAACTGAAGACGGGCACAGATTTTCATCTTAAAATAAAATAACTTGTATAGCGAATTTATAAATGAATATGTATTATATATCAAGCTATCATTATCATTAAAAAACGGATTACCTGGTGGTTCCCATATTAATATTACATCAAAAATCAGATCAAGGTAATTCTCTAACGCTGTTTTAACACGTTCATAATTTTTCTTACCAGGTTGAAAATATTCAGCTGTTAAATCAATTTCCACGACTATGACGATAAATATCCCCAAAACAGAAATAAGTAGGATAAGAGTCAAACAATTGAAAATTAAAATGTTATTTGTTGATATACATACCATTCCGTGTATTTATTTTACGATCAAAGAAAGACGCATTTCCTTCTAATCCAAGCTTATAAAAATCTTCGCGTATCAATGAAATTATCAAAATACCACTTGGAGTAATAGCTATGGCATTAGATAAATCGATTTTATTTCCAATTGCTAGAAGTGTTAATTCTCCTGAAGGATTTATATTATATCATTACATTACTATGCATTAACGCTAAGAGAAAATGATACGTATAATCATTAACGTATTAATATTATACGTAAAATAAATACGTATAATATATAAATAAAAACAAGCAGTTACCTTTTTTAACAAATGCATCAATAAATTGTTTGTTCAATAATTCAGAAACGTGAAGGTCTTTAATTTTATAATAATCACTATCATCTGAAATGCTATTTGTCACAATATCAGGTATATTACTTGATTGTGGAAGTATTAAAGAAACCTATACAAAAAAAATTATCAATCAAATTGACCACTTTTCTTTTATGCACATATATTTTTTATACATAACCTACAAACACGTGAAGAATTGCGACGTCAGTTACTTACTACATGATTGAAATAATGCTTTTTAATTATAACAGGAACGTCTTTTTTCTTATTATCTAATTTTTCAACATTGAAATAATGTTGAGGTGGTTTAAAATTCCATACTTCAGGACTCAACATTCTAACCTAATTCTATGTATATCTTGATTATGTTAAAAGCACGTTGTTCTGTTTACCAATCACAAGAGCATGTGTGCACTCACATTGATATTTATATCAAAATACTATACCACTGTATCTAAACTAGAACTCTACCTCACTTATCACCCAGCCTCGGTAGCGCAGTAGGCAGCGCGTAAGTCTCATAATCTTAAGGTCGTGAGTTCGATCCTCACCCGAGGCAATATTTTTGCTAAATTTTTAAAAATTATTTTTTTTATACATTTAATAACATTAATTAATTTGTATATAATTATTAAAACCATCCATCACCTTTCTGAATCTAACTCGTTCATCAATAAAAGTAAAATATTTTATTTTTCTAAAATATATCAAAAAACATAATATATATATATATATATATATAGTTAATTTCATTGATTAGCTACATTTGTGTGGCTGCCCTGCTTGACGAGTACCAATTCTCGTCGCCAGGCGCGTTCCGATCGAAATTTCGACATTATTTTTAAGGTGATCCTCAGAAACGTATGTGAGACAACAATCTCTATGAAGACAACGCATCTTCAGGAAATTAACCTTAGACTGTATTATCAGTTGACCTTATTGGTCGCTATTTGGACAAGTTCGGCTTTCAATTAGTATTTTAGTAGTTATAGAGTGCATTAGTTAGATGTCACTACAACCCCATTATTGACAAGCTCTATTTATATTTTCTTCAATTTTGAAATTGTTTTGATTTAACCTCTTACAGACAAATATTGAAATTTATTTATTTTGGTTTGAATTAAATCCAAAAAATGGCATCGACTAGAGAAAGACGATCAAATGCCGGTAATAAAATGGCAAAGTTGTTAAATGAAGAAGAGGAAGATGATTTTTATAAAACTACTTATGGTGGCTTTGATGAAGTTGAACAAGATAATGATTATATGTTAGCATGATTAGTTCTTCTATTTTTTAAAAAGAATAAAACTTATTAACATTTTTTTATTTTTCTCATTTTATTAACAATTTCTAGGGAAGAGGACGAAGGTGAAGACGAAGTAGATTCTGACTTTAGTATTGATGAAAACGATGAGCCAGTTTCTGATACAGAACAAGAAAGTCCTAAGAAAAAACGCAGATTAATAACTAAAGCTTACAAAGAACCAAAAGCAGTAACGACTCAATCATCTACACCTTTAAAAGAAAAGAAAATAAGACGCCAAAGACATGATAAATTTCTTATAGATAGTACCGGTAATCATATAGCAGTTAACACGTTGACTGTCATGCAAGTTTAACATCTTTTGCTATAGAGATTATAGTTCTAAGGTAAGATATAAAACAATATATTAATGTCAATTAATAATGGTCTCATTAAAAAGTAAACACTAGTCACAGGTGACCGACATGGCAGTCAACGTGTTAAACTTAAAAGAAATTGTTACGATACATAAGTGCTTTAATGTTTATTAATATATATATATAATTTATAGAAAGAAAGTCTATACGTCGGTCTACTGCTGCTAAGTCAGCAGCAACTCAAAAGCGTTTATTAGAAAGAAATGAAGATCAAAAGAAAAAAACTAAAGTAATTAAACATGATACTTGGAAACCTACACAAGAAGAATTACTCGAAGAAGCATTGCAAACTGAGCAAATAAATATGAAATCATTAGGTAGATTTTATTGTCTATATAAAGTAATTTAATTACTTTATTTATTCTGTATGAATTTTTTTTGTGATTTACTTATTACTATAGCAAATTTATTAAAGTAAAGCTGTCTCTTTCTCTTATATCCTATATGTTTGCCGTTTACAGAAAAGTACCAAAAATTAGAAAATGAGAAAAAGAATACGAGAGCGGTTAGAAAAGCACATGGAGGTCCAATGATCAGATATCACTCTATGTCAATGCCTGTAATGGTCATTACTGACCCATTAGAAAAAGAGGATGTTAAAATTAATGTAGAAGAAGGAGATGATGAAAAAAATTTGGCTCCAAGTTCCAATAGTGTTTCTGACATATCCGTCGTAGGAGATTCGTAAGATTACTTTGTAACGTTATAAAAGAAAGAATAGAATTATTAGTGTAATTTTAAGGTATTCATTAAAGTAACCTTTATGTAAAGTATTTTATTTTGTTTAGTGAAACAACTAATTGTGATGTAGAAGTTGACCCAAAAGATAAATTAGATAATGCCACAAAAAACAAAACAAGTATTCAATGTGAAGAAACAGGAACGTTTTACGAACGTACCTTTATTACATTTGAAAATGACCAATTATTATTAGAAACATTTAAAAAACCTAGTCAACTAAAGCCAGCAACAAAAGCTCTATGTGCTATAACAAGGTAAAAATAAGAAATGTTGACTGTTATAGAAAGTTAGCAAAATATAAATATTAATATATATAGATTAAAAATATGCTTATATTTTTAATGGAATTAATTTTATTTTTCTAAGGCTTCCCGCAAAATATTTAGATCCTATGACACAGTTACCGTATAAAAATGTACAAACATTACGTTTACTTCGTGAAGCATATTATCGTCAATTAGAAGCTCGTAGCGATATCAACGACACTTCGTTAAGTCCAGAATTATTAAGATGGCTTGAATGGAGACAAAAAAATTGTGGTACAAATTATAGAAGCACTATACGTCTTGAACCAGCAACGATTTCTACAAATTCGTAGCATATTTAATTATTTAATAAATAGCAGTTACAAGGAAAAAAAGAACAATTAATATTATAATTTTTATAGTTAATTAACGATTCTAGTAATAATCACCTATTTTTTAAATATAGTATTATAAAATTTAGATAATTGATTCAGCTGTAAGAATACTTTATTTGAATATTTAAAATAAGTTGTATATGATTAAATTTTTTAAAACAAATTTATTTTATGTATTTGATTTTATATATATAAAAAAATGAAATAATTTGAGATTATACTTTCAATTCGATGTTATATTTTACATAGTTTTACATTATAGCTTTGCGTCAGAAAAATAAAAATTGAATATATTTATTGTCCTGTTTTTGTCATGTATAATAAAATTACTTATTTTATCAGTGATATATATAATGAAATTAAGTCTTAATTATTTTTTAAATAATTTATAAAAATAATAGATTTATTTAGAAATAACAATATAATTTGAAAAAAATTTATAATTTATTGAGTACATTGTAATTTTTACAAAAACGCTAAATTATAAGCAATACAGATATAATTGTATTGAGAAAACATGTCATGTAAAGTACATTTACATATTTAAAAAATTATCTTAACTTAATGAAATGGCATTTTTTATTTTCTCTTCTAATTTTTTATTTGCCAGTTGTTGTTCTTTTAAACGACTTTCTAAGAGTTCCGATGTATGATGTACTTCTTTAATTTTCTTTTTAGTATTTTCACAAAACTCAGCAAGTTGGTCAAATTCATTTATTAAATTGTTGTCTTCAAAAGTACTTTTATTACAATCCTTTAATTTCCGTTTCTTTTGAATCGGTTCTTTAATTATATTATCTCTTTTAGGAGAACATGTTTCATCTAGGTTTTTTATTTTTGTCGTAAATTCTGTTAATGTAATAGATTTAAACCACCACGGTAATGTTTTAAAATATTTCATATAATTTTTATTATAAACAATTTTTAAATCCGTTTCAATATAATTTATTTTTTCTTTGACAATTTGGACTAATATATCTGCAAAATTTGTTATTTTTAAACTGCCAGTCACAAAATATAAATGACTTAAAATATCACAGGAGAAGGCATTGCTATTTACATCTGGTAACACTACTTGACAATAACGGATTATATTTTTATGTAATTGAAGTGCATCTTTTACTGGCCATGAAAAACTCCAATATGGTAGCAACAATCCATTTAGAATATTTTCTAGAGTTACTCTATAGTTTAGTGTTCTCCACAAATCATCAAAATATTCATAACTGCAAGGTAATATGTGCTGGTTTTTTATAAATTTTTTAAATTCTGGTGCAAATTTTGTATACATTAGAGATTCTGGATCTAATAAAATATGCATCAAATATGTAACTGCTTCATTGTGCAGGTTTATTAAAAAATTGGGCTCTTTCATAGCTACAGATAAATTTCCGTTATTAATTGAATCTTCTAAAACTCTTTGCCAAAATTCTTCCGTTAAACAAATATCACATACATTTTGTAGAGTATCCATTTCCAATGGATTTTGAGGAGGTTTATTAATAGCCAACCATAAAATTGTGCTTTGAATTAAATTTAATATAATTGTTTCATTCAATGTTTTCTCAACAGTGATGGTGTATTCAGATATATATCCCGAATCTAATAGGGTATCTAAATCTGTTTCAATTTCGTCTTTTTCCATCTCTAAATTTCCACTTCCCAAAATAATAAGTACTAAAGGTATTGGTAGAAGTTTATCTTTAGATAATATAGTTTTTGTTAACCGTTTGTTAATGGAAATAACATTTTCTGAAGCATTTGCTATAAATATGAAACCATCCGTTCCAATTAAATGATGTTCTGCAATAAAACCTTCAAAATGCCTTATACAAGCATATAAATGTTCACATGAGTTTGATTGAAATAATTTTATTATTGGTTCTGTTGTATAATCCTCAGGACATAAATATCGATTTATTATTTTTTTATAATGCCATACATCAGTCCTATTTTCCAAATCAGGCCACGATATTACAACCTTCCAAAACAAATCTGTCAAAATGTGTATATTTAATAATTTCAAATTTTCTTTAATACCTTCATAAATGATTGCCTCAATAGGAGCTAAATTATTGATAATTGATTTTGGTATTTCTACCGTGCAATGCCTTTTGCGCATATTTTCTATAACTAACTTTTGTTCATTACGATATAACATTTTAGCACATTCATCTACAGATTGCTTCTGTAACCAAACAGGTGTGTCATCTAATGCTTTTCTTTGCTGAGTTTTTTTCAATGTCCATTTCCTCCATATGTAAAAATATTTATTGATCTTTCGTTCATTTCTCTTTTTTGCAAATTCTTCTAACTTTTGATAACTTATTATTTCTTCATATAATATATCATCACATATTTCAGTAAGAAAACCATTTAATATATTATTACTTAAAGAATCATACATTGTTGATTTCTTTATTTCTTCTTGTAGAATATTAGAGCATGGTTCTTCTATCACTTCTTCTATCAATTCTTCAAAGATTTCATCTGTATCTTTACTAATTTGTTGCATTTTTTGTTCCAATTGTTTTGTAGCTATAATTTCAGGTTCCTTTTTAATTGATGACTTATTTGGAGATGGTATATTTTTACTTATAAGCTTTGTTTCTTCAGATGGAACAAATTTTGTATTAGATAGACTTTGATGCGAAGTCGAAGTTACATTTGAAACATTATTGTCAAATATGTTGCATGGTAGAGTAGATTTTTGAAATATATTTCCTTTTCCAGTTTCAGAAAATATGCTCTTATTTAAAGCCATTAAAAATGGTGAAGATTTTTCAAAGCTTTCAATAGGTTTAGTCTGCTGAAAAACATTAAAACTTTGTTTCGGAAGCAATGTGTTATTGTTTGCATTATTAGAAACATTATTATTATCTTTAATTTTTTTCGATAAAGTATCATATTGTGGTTTATCAAACAGTGAGGGTGTATTAAGATAATCTTGTTTTATTTGAGTATCCAATGGTAAATTTGTTTCCGTCTTATCTTCAAGCGTAATTTGTTCAGATTTTGATCCAATTTTATTATGTTCTGACTTAAATACAGAAGTATTTTCCGATTTATTTAAATCAGTATCACTAATTTTAGATGTTTTTTGAAATTGACCATATTTGGTAGTTTTTGGTGAGTCTACAAGAAAAGCACTATGGCTTTTTTCATTAGTAAGTAACATTTCTTTATTAGAAGGCTCTGATTCCTTTCTTGTAAATTCATGTGAAATTTCCATACTATTATTAATAGTAAAATTCTGATCTTCTGCATTTATAGACTGAGGCAATAAGTAGCCTTCAGAATTAAAACTAGTATGGGGCTTATGATTCTTGTAAGTTTTTTCAGGCATTTGTCCACCAGCAATGCATTCACTAATTGATAGTCCTTGAGAAGTTCTTTTTGATTCTATCATATAACGAGCTCTACCTTGTTTTATATTTGACATTGGCAAACAGAAATTTTGTCTATTTAACATTATGTATAATTCATCATTTGATACACTGATTCCTACTTGCTCACAAAAATATATAGCCTCATTTTCATTCTCAAAGCCAAGATTTTGAAGTATTTCATATAATGGATAAGCTGTAGATGTAGTTCTGCAATATGCCTTGACCATTATAGATAAAGCTTTAACTCTAACTTGATTAAAATATCTGAGCAAAATGCAGGCATTTAAAAAAGTTGTTTGCCGTACTAGTTTAAAAAATTTGTAATAATTATTAGACTCTAGAGCAGAATATATATTTATTGCAAATTGTACTTCTGATGACTTTTGTATTGAAATTGGAAGTTGTTGCAAGTCTGACATGAAATTACCATTATTCAAATTTAAGAGAATAATATATCCTCGAAATTCTGGTTCATTCTTACATGTGATACCTTTTACTCTCAAATCATGATATATATACTTTAAAGACTGTAAGCATTTTGTTAAGTTTTCTGAATTGATTTTTTTATCAAATATTGATAATTCTTCCGCGCAAAGTCTTTCTGAGCATACTATGTGAAACCTAGCACATTGTTCAATTAATTCTACACTATCGATACAACAAAGTTCTTGTTGAGTTATATCTTTTCTTATTCCTCTTGTTCTATCCCATAAAAAATGATACCATTCTCCTAAATTAGTTCCTTCTTCTTCGCAAAGATTTACTATTTCATGAAGCAAATAACTCATAGTCATTTTTAAGGATTTTACTGGTCTTAATTCATGAGCCATTGGTTCTTCCTGATCTGCAGAAGACCTCGAGTATTGTTTAACAGCAATCATATGATTTATTCTATACTCATTTCCTTCCAATAGTTCATACGGAGCTACTTGCCTTTGCGATTCACGCATCAAGCGTTCTTTTTCAGGACACATATCTGGACAAGTTCCACTTGTAATTTCAGCAGTTTCCAATGAGTGAGATTTAACTTGTTTAAGCCTCATCAAACGATCCCTTGCTTCTAAAATTTTATATTTATCTTCTGATGTAATACCAATTTGATATATTATACTTTGTAATTCTTCCATAGATGCACCATGTAACGATGTCATTATTTGACTATCAGTTTCAATTTTATCCTTATCAATTTTGAGCAACATCTTTTCAGATTTTTTTGTGCGTGATCCTTTGCTTTTTTTCCCAGTAGGTACTCTAAACATATTATCACTCTTATAATCATGTAAATTATATTCTAAATTTGTCATAGCTTCTAATTCTGTTTTAATTTCATTATCTAATTTAAGAAAATTTGTAACTATATTTTTCGGATCTTTCTTTTTGGTTGGAGACTTCGGTGATTTATCTAACTTTGTCCATTCAACAGTAAACTTTTGACCCAAATATTCTCCACTTTTCTGATAGGCATTATTAGCTTCTTCCTTAGATTGAAAAACTACTATAATTATTTGCTTCTTCGGCTTAATAGTAATTTTTAATACTTCACCATAAACATTAAAATGTTCTCTTGCAGTTGATCTTATAAGCAGTTCCTTTGGAACATCTGTACATGTTATTGAATTATCCAAATTACATTTAACTATTTGTGATTTCGAATTTTTTTTTAATTGTCCAAATGCTGAACCATCTTTCAAAGCATTGGCAAACAAATTGACCGATGGTTCGAATGCATTTCTAGATATTTTAGGCTTGTATTTTTTTCCTGTGTCATTAGTTTGTTTCTTGGTAAAACTACTATGCTGTGTTATTGTTTCAGGTGCTGCAAAACTAAATTCTTGTTTGTTGGTGCTTGAAGACATCAAATTGGTTTGAAAACTATAATTGTAAGTTTTTGGAGGACTAAAAACAACGTTTGGCCTAGAAAATGTAAATCCTACAGAAGTTGGATTTTCTGTAGTATTTGTATCCATTTCTTCCTTGTCAGACATTTTTTCTTCTATACAAATAGAATTGTTTTAATATTAATATTGAAGATAATTTAACTGTTTATATATATATATATATATATATATATATATTACTAACCTCTTATCCGTTCGAAAATTTTATTATAATGTAATGTGTGATTGTTTTACTTTCTATTCATTTTAAATATCTAAAAATATTAAATTTATTCTTTAATTTAACTTTCTTCTTAAAGATAGAACTGCATTTCACTATAATATTATTTCAAAATATTTAAAAATTGAACTTTTTCACTTTGTTCACTCGTTCACACTTTTAACGAATAATAACTAACCACTTAGGAATACTTCGTTGTTCAATCCAACATTCTCTTGAGACACCCTGTATATACAAAATTACACGAATACAAAGTTTCTTTAAAGTAACCAATCATCTTCGATATAATCTGTATATCCAATGAACGATAAGTATTAAGACGTCTGTGAAATATTGTCAAATCATTTCATATTGTCTTCATTACAAGATTATTAGTAAACTACATTTAAACAACACAACTAGTTAAGCGTTAAACAAATACCATAATGATTAAGTTAACAAAACAATATAATTTAGAAGGTTTCTCATTAATAATACCGTCAGTGGCAGTTGGTAATGTCGCACAATTAACTGTTGATCTGTTAATCTCTAATCTTAACCTCCAAAGAATTGGTCAAATTGTGACTTCTGCTTTTATACCCATTGTTGGATTGGATCCTTATGCAAAAACATCTGAACATTTATGTACAGCAGTTGATTTATATGCAGGACTTGAAAATAAAATACTTGTTGTACAAATTCGTTCACCGTTCGTCAAATCGTTAAATAATTTTTATCATAGTTTGTTACAGTTTATTACAGCAAATAAAATATTTAAGGTATACTTTTATGCGCATATTTACAAATGTACAAATAACAAGATTTTTATTTATGTTTTATTTTAGATAGTAATACTGACAAGTAGCTATGCATATGAAAAAACAGATACTCAAATAAATACTACAGAATTAAGATACATTGCATCTCCCAGTATATTAAGTAATAACAAAGAAATTTTCGATGATTCTAAATGGCTCCAATATGAATCTAAATCATCTTGTCCAAGCGAACAACAGATATCATGTATTCCAGGAGGAGGCTTTGCAACTAATTTATTTAATTTTCTTTTAAACAATAATGTACCGTGTATAATATTGTTTAAATTTTGCTCAGAAGGAGATAATATTCCAGATGCATTAGATTTATTAAATTATTTGAATCAATGGATGAAGTTACTAAAAATGAATTCTAGTGGATCTTTAGATGTGAAGTATCCACTATCATGGAAATATTTATTTGGAAATGCACCATCGTCTGAGATATATTAAATAAAATACTATAAATATATATTATAAAATTATTTGTATAAAATTGCTTATTTCTTTCAACAGCATCTCTCATATATGTTATTGCAATATATCTTTATACATTTATATTATATATTGATATAAAATAAATTAAATATAATATTAATATATAATATAAATGTATAAAGATATATTAGATAAAACTAATACAACAGTACATTTTCTTCAATTTCATGAATTTATTTGAACTGGAATCGATCACATATGTGTCCTACATTATATTTTTAAAATACAGAAATACCAGATATATTCAAAATATTTATAATTACAAAATTTTAATCTAACATTATAACATTTCTTTGATGAAAATTATGATGACAAGTATAGAAATCAGACTTTGTAAAATAAATAATATTTTTACTATGCAAGAAGTTTAAATTTAGCTGAAAATGCAGCATATGAAACAAGAGCAGCTAAAAATGCTGCCAAAAATTCAGAGTTGATCCATGGTCCAAGATAAATACCTGGATTATTGAGTACAACTACAGCTAGTGGTTTAACTACACTAGGATCTTCTCCACTTCTATAAGCTTTACGAATAGCAGCATATTTTTCTTCGTCATAAAGCTTGACACTGTAATCTCCTGATCGTGCATGTTTGATGTCTTCTGTCCAAGAAACCTGAAAAAGATAAAACAAATATTTAGAATAAAAATATGTATTATAACAATATACAAATTATTTATATTTATTAATTTACCTGGTATTTGTTATCTGCACTTAACCTTACAGCAGGTAAAGCTTTTCCTTCTACTTCAGCGTATAATGGAATTCCTTTAACACCATTGCTACATTTTAATACAAACTGTGTTGTAAAAGCTACATTAGTAAGAACAGTTGCATCTTCTGTTACATATGCCGATGCTACTACTTCTGGTTTTTGACATGTTTCTGCTGATATTGTTAGAATTACAGCACATAATGTAAATAGAAAAATATAATTCATGTTTATTTTAAATTATGTTTTATACAATAATTGAATGACAAAAATTCTTATTAAAATCTAACAATAGATTCTTATATTATATATGATATAAAATAGCAACCGACAATATGCATTACACTTCAAACACGGTTTTCAGTCGACTTGACTAAAATTATTCTATCATAACGTTATTCAAAAACTATATTTGATTGCAGACGTGTTATGACGTGTCTTTAACCTCTGAATATAAATGGTAGAGATGTTACACAACATATAAATTCATAAGATAATAATGTCATCTATTGGAAGAATATATAATTGAAGGTAAGGTTAGGTACAAATGATTTAATTTATTATATTAGCCATTAAGTCCATGTTATTAATATAAATAATACATTAGAATAAAAATATTTCAGTTATCCGTAATATAATTATTAATATTTTATATTTTATATAAAAGCAATATTATGCATATACATATTAGATGTACTTTCATAAAATCCAATACATTGATTGGTTGCACATTTTCCTTTACAACAAACTTCATTGTATAACCAATGATTACGTTATAAATAATTATATTACTCCTATATGTGATTGTTCATGAGAGAAGGTATTTATATCATCTTTCAAGAATTATAACAAATTAGGTGATCGAATTTTTCAATTATCGATACAAATTAATAGAGAGAGAAAATGGGATTGTGATTGGAGCTTAATACAATAAAAAAAAAGATGCTATTGTGAGACGCACTCTCGTATACTTATTCAACCCATCCTAATATTAATTATTAATATTGTATATATTTTTTATACTAATAATTATTAAAATGAAGTGAACTGACAATTCCAAGAACATTACACATGAGTATATATTTATATATATATTAAGAATGGTAATAATAATAAAATGTGATTTTTAACATCATATACATTTTACATCTATTATTAAGTAAATGATGAAAGTAATTAATCTTAATCAACAGGCTGTTATTACAATTATTATATATTTTTAATATTAGTATTGAAATGACAATATATTATTCAAATTTTGCTTTTCATTTTTTTAATATTTTGTGTGAAAGTAAATTTAGAACTTAGTATAAATAAAATGTTTTTATTTATATTTTAGATGCAGTAGTTATTTCTTTTGATAATATAGAATTTACTAAATCTATGATTGAGTAATATCGTAATCGCTACTATTTTGTATAATTTGGCAATAATATGGGTAAGTAAATACATATTTAGTTTCATTAACTAATTTTATGTAGTATAACATATATAGACTATTCTTTTATTTCTGAAACAAATTAATATCAATTTGTAATGTATGATAGTGATGGCAGGAAATGAAGGTACGCCAGGATCTTTGGCAGAAGATACATTATCTGCAAGATTACAATGGCTTCGTCAAAGACGTGAAGCATTACAAGAGAAACTAGCTCTAAAAAATACAGAATTAAAAAATCTTTGTATAGAGGAGGCAGAATTGACGGGAGTATTACCACCAGAAATACCACTAGAGCCTGGGGAAAGTCCACCCACTTTCCGTAAAAAAGTGGGCACAGCATTTACATATCCTCAAAATCTAATCAACAAATTAAAATCAAATGAGATTGTAAGATTATTATTTGTTGTATTATATAATATTTATAATACATATTGGGAATGTGTTAAATTTCATTTTACTATTGTAAGCAGGAAGAATCAGCTCTAGAATTAGAGCGACAGGTTCAAATTGGTATAGTGGAAGCCGCTCTAGGAATCGTCAATGATCCTGCAGAAAGTAAAGCTGTACGTCGAAAACATAGATTGGTTTATCAACAAGGTCAAAGAAAACTTCAAGAATTAGAAGCACGCTTAAATTCCATACGTCAGTCTCGTAATAAAACACATCGTGCAGGACAATATCAGCATACGATGCCATGTAATATTCAACCACATTTACAGAACAATGTCAAACATAGAACAAAGAAACCTCGACCACCACTTGATAATACAGGTACTATTTATAATTCTATTTATAATAAAGAATGTTATGTAATATCAAAGTTATTAAGATTTTTATTCATTATAAATATTTTTATATAGGAAATGAAAGTTGTTTGGCCTCTACGAGAGGTATTGCTCAAGAAGAAAATGTTAATTTAAATTCCATAGGAACAGAACAAAAATATCCTGGATATGAAGAACATTTTCCATTTACGAATGCTTATCATCATGGTCATGATACTGATTTTTCTTCTACAAGTCCTGTTGACATACGACAAAATATTAAAGCATTAGAAAATGATTTTAATGATAACCACAATATTTATATTCTACCTGACCAATATCGTACTCGTACTTATTCTCATGGTAGTGGTGGTACACGCAGTCAGAATAATTATCAGGATAACAACCGAGTTTATCGTACTGTACCTAACACATACAGTGAAGAAGAACGTCAAATGAGATATCGTCAATTTCAACAACATCAACAACAACAACAGCAGCAGCAACAACAACAAAAACAACAAGAATTACAAGAAGATTTTTACAATCATCAACAATATGCAGAATATAAACTTGATAGCGAAGTTCAAAGAAAATCGAGTCAAATTTATTATGATAGAGATTTTCATTCTCCTCATCATATGCACGCGGAGTATCAATTTCATTATAAAAATCAGTCACAGTCATGGCAAAGAAAAGATCGTGATATGTCTATAAATAGAAACTTAAGATCTATAGGACCACCTGTTGATTCGCATATGCCTCCAGGATGTTGGATGCGTTGTAACGAAGAAATCATTTGGTGTCCTGACGAACAACTTGTGTCTGATAGATTTGGTAGTCTTGATCGTAGAAAACGAAATGGAGTGCAGCATGTAGGAAATATTCACACAGATACACAATCCCGATATCGGACAGTAACAATTGGGGGATCTAAAAATACTGTACCAGTTGTATCCTACCCACAACCTACTATTCATTTATTACCTTTATCAGAACAGTCACAAGTAAATAATAAAATTCTTTTGCGAACTCAATCCTTAGGAAGCGTAGAAACATGGCATTCCAACAGGTCTCAGGAATCACAAGACGATAAAGATACTACTGATAGCGTTAGTCGCAAAGGAAAAGAAAAAGAATGGTATGAAACATCTTTAGATTCAGGTGCAAGTCCTGCATTAGAGGCAGGCTTATTAATTACACACAAAGCTATGCACTGCCAATCAAGCTCACCTGTATCATGTGCTAAAGATATTGGTGTCATTAATAGTGTTAATGACAATACTGCAAAGAATATCTATTCAAATACGCAAACACGTTCTAAGTTGGAAACATCTATTCAAACACAAACACATGTACAGCCAACTCTTATTTGTTACGATAATTGGCGACCTAAAGTACTTGAAATTCCTGCAGAATCAAGAAAAATTCAGGAAAATAATGATGAGGGAATTTTAATAAGATCTCCTCCTAATTGTACAGTAGTGCAGGCAGGAAAATATCAGCCTTATAGAGAAGTTACGAAACCTTTTGAAATGTCAGACTTTTATAAATATTCGACTAAATTTCGTAAACGAAATGAAATATCTGGGCAAACTTCATCAAATGAAAATTGTTTAGATTCCTATGGTGGAGATTTAGCTGGTTCTACCGATTTACAACAAGAATCTGATTCTCCTAATTATATACACAATGGTAATGTTACTAGTCCAGTACAAAAAAAGATATATCAACCTGTTGAGCGTATGACATGTCAGCCTTATTTAACTACTTTGAGGTAGCTTTATTAGAAAATATTAAAAAATATTAAGAGAGAGAAAAATATGATGTGAATTCTTATTTTCTTAATCTCTTCAGTACAAGCGTCGACTTTAATCGACAGCTACGATACGAATATACTTGACCAGTCATCAAGATTCGGTAGAGTATGCCCTACCGAAAAAATTAAATATAATAATATATATATAATATTGAAATTTACAATTCAATTAAAAAAATACAGCCAGTTGAATTTGCTTAAATAGCGTAACAATTTTATAATACGATATTTTCACTATACAGTGATTCATTTAAAGATATAATAGATATTGCCTTTAAAATAAGTGCAATTATAATAGTATCTTATGTTATATATATAAATATATAGTTTTATGGAAAATAATAAAATATAAATTTATATTAAAATTAGAATATACAAAAATGTTTGTATTGAAAAAAGTGATAAATTTGTTAATTTATAATTTATGTAACATATGATGACCTGAACATAGTGCCTTACTATCTTTTTAATAAGCATATTTACGCACAATACAATACTTTATTATTTGTTCTTGGTACTTAAAGTTATTATTAATGAGAAAATTTCTATATTAAAAAAAGGAAAAATGTTTAATTATTCCTATTATTGCATTACAAGTATTACTGTAATTCAGTTGAAAAATATATGTAAATATCTATATTGATTGTAAAAATGTAGCAAAAATTTATCGTGTTATGTACATCATAATAATATAGATTAATAGTGTAAACAAAAAATTGTTATTAAGGCGTTTAAATTTTTATTTGTATCACGCAAATCATAATAGAACGATACTGAAATCAAATAAAAATATACAAAATATCAATACATAACATTATAATAATATTTAATCAAATTTAAGTGCCTACATTTATAAATATAAGAGCCAAAGACTCTAGGAAGACTATGTATCAAATATAATAATTTATTATATTTTTATTTTTTATTTTTTTATTTATATATATGTATGTATATATGTGTATATATTCATGTGTAAATGGAGTTATAACGCCCACACATAAATAATTTATATAGTATCAGTAGTTAGCTAAGATTAAAGGTGTAAAATAGCATTATCATAGCAACATTTCGACAAGTATTTCATATAAATTTACATAAACTAATTTTATTTTTCCTAATTTTTAGCAATATTCACAATTTTTCTTTTAACTACAATTTTAATAACTCTTTTATATTAATAGCTTTTGTAGTGTATAGATATTAACCATTTTAAAATAGTATTTATCTTAATATCAGGTAAATATCAGATAATTATTTTATATTATTTAATATAAACTTTTTCAAATACTACATAGCCATATGCATTTATAAAAATAAAATGATTACTGATTTCTTTAAACATTTTTCAATTATATTCATAAGTACAATCAACTATTACATTTAATATAACATATATATATATATATTACTAAGTAGTATAAAAACTTA